CTCCGTGCCTTCCTCGGAGGTTTGGCTAATTGGCCAGTACTCCCAGATCTTTCTTTCCAAGTAGTTTTATAACCACACTTTTCCAGTTCAAGAATAAACTGCCTTTCAAAAGCCAAGCTTGTTCTGAAGCCTATGCTCTCATTCAAATGAATGTCAGATTACAACTGTTAATGATTTACACGTTTGATCTCTGCTCTGTAAACCCATCTGTATTTTTTATTGTATTTTACTTTCTTTGGATGTAATTTATACTTGTAACATTTGATGTATCTACTTTTTTCTGTGCTATGTTCCAGCGCTTCTGTTCTAGGCAGATTAAATTATATCAATATTACACTTCCAGGGAGAGAACCAATAAAAGCATTTTGAAAAACAAGGCTGTAAATGGCAATATTACAGTCTGAAATCCAAGGAAGAAAACGGTGAAATTCAAACAAATGAAGGCTGAGCAAGTGAGAAAGGATCTTAAGCAGTGCTTCCCAAAGACAAAGTGTTACAAAAGCTTCCGGCATGGTTTTGTAATAACAGCTGTGAGGAGAAAAAAGCCTTGGGTAAAATCAGTCTACAATAATTTGATTTTGCTCATGAGCACAGTAAAAACATAAAAAAATAAAGAATACTCATTGGTAAAAAACACTCCCTCATTCCCATGCTCAGATGAAAGCAGCATGTAACAGCTCTGCATTCTAATATGAGGCAATATTTAAACCACTGTTCACAAAAGGCTGCAAAGCTTCACTAAAAGAATGGCAATATTATGCAATGAAGATTATTTCTTGACTGACAACTAAACTTCTGCTGGGAGTTTTATCCCTTAATAATTTTTATTATTAAGAAACCTTTTTGCCTGGCATAGCAACGATGATGAAAGTAATTGAACTTTTTTTGATATGCAGGAAGTCTGAATCTTTGAAGAAAATCTCTTCCTGGCTAAAAAATGTAAACAATCCCTTATACTAAGCGAAAAAAATACCATTTTTTAAGAGCCTCTTTACTGAGGCTTCAGGTACCAGTACTAACATTTAGGTGTAACAGTAAATCTGCTGTGCTTTCTGACAGCAACTGCTGCCTTCACAAAATAACAGTGTTGCAATGAAGATTTTATAGTTCAGCTTAAGTACATTTAAAATGATCTTTATGCTACAGATTTTCTTCTGTTGCAAATTGTGAAGGTGCATCAATAGCAGACAATATTTTCACGGAAGATTAGAAAAAGGCTTACTGTCATCCATTGGCCTAAATCTGATGACTGCCCAGTTTGAATGTTTATCTTCTGACTCCGCTCTGACCCGTAACTCGTAGTTTCCGTAAAAAGACAGAGAAGAGACGTCGCACTCTGTGACACTCAAATTTGTTCTTAAATTTTTAAAGTCGTCTTTAGGCAAATTGATGCTATGTGGAAAAGCAAAAACAAACAAACACACACATAAATGATGTGTACATTATAAAATTGACAAATTTATCTTTCCTCTCAATGAACTAGAAAAGTGACATGCCTTAGTGGCATTGCTTAAAATGCAGTTATGACTCGTGAACAAGTTACAAATGTGTACAGATGGATTAAGCATTTTCTGTGTATCGATAAATTAGTGATAAATTTGGAGATTAAGATTATGATTCAGTAAACAGATACCCTTTTCTTGACAGTGGTTAAAAAACTTCATTCAACAGACAGTAGATATTAAACAAGACTGCAAATATTAGACAATATCACTGTGCATGGCTTTGCTTTGTTCAGATCCTTCAGACATGCACTTAAGGAAAAGCTAGAGCAAACAGAGCCCGAGAGCTGAACCATTTAATAAAAGATGACATTATTCATTTTGCATCACAAGCCCAGCTAGGAACATAGCGGTCAACAGGTAACTGCTACCAGAACTCAAAAATCTTTTGACCAAGATGGCCTGTGCCCTGACTTGGGGGATTTATTCTCTGCCTGCACTACTTGAGGGTGCCATCTACCCAACTTTACCTGCCATCCTGCCTTTGCAATAGAATTCAGCCATTAGCAGGAGAAATTTGGCCCAAGACAAGGCTTTCTTGTCAAGCACTGCGGCATGCCACAGACACACTTGTGGCAGGAAAGACCATCTTGGAAGGACACAGTGGAAAAAACAGTTCAAAACTAACTCACCAAACCTGACAAAAGGAGACCTCAGAAAACATGTCCTGAGCTTAGAGGCATTCAGCTGAAGAGCCATGGCCTGCAGATTGTCAGGCATTTCTACGAAGGACACAAACAAGCAGGCTGCACCAGTGGCAAAGCACAAAATGCTGCTGGGAGGTGAAAGACCAGATAAGGTCCTGATTCAACAGCCATAGTCCTGCTTAACGTGTGATGGCTACACGGCAGAGAAAAACAAAAACAGCCAACATTAAAATATGTTTCCAGTTCCAAAAAAGTATGTAGAAAACTTTTGGGTGTGAAACATATAGCTAAGTAACAGGCAAATGTACTTTCTTTAAAGATATACCTCTCACAAGCTAAAGGAAAAGGACAGCTACCTATCTTGCTGTAAGAGAGGGAAGAAATCAATCACCTGCAGCTGGAAAATACAAATTTCTGTGACAGCTACAGATAGGTACTTAAAAGAAATGCAAAAAAAAAAAAAAAGTGGAAAAAAAAAGACAACTCCACCAGACTTACCTCTTAGACTGGACAGTATAACTTAAACTGCCCTTCTGAAACCTAGGTGGATCCCACATTAAAATGCTCTGAAGATTAACTGAATTAATCCTTGTGTTTTGGGGTTTGGGCACTGTTCCAGAAACTGTTAGGGCAATCAACAACAAACAAAAATCTTAGTATGCGTTCCTCCAGTGACTTCTCAGTCATCCAAAACATAAACACCGCCTTCTTTTCCTTCAGGCCTCAGCCTTTTTTTTTTTTTTAATTTATTTTTAAATAGACTTTAATACAGGCTAGACACATCCCAACAATCACCCAACAAAAGCTTACACAACAAAACCAAATTAGCTAGCCCCAACGACTTCCAGTAAGTACTGCCTTATGACACCACAGCTTATTATGAATGAGTTGCTCATTGCTGACTAAGACTTCGTGCCGATCGGGCTACGTGCACGAGCTTTCACTGAGACTGGCAAGGCACAATTTTTCTAAGTAGTGCTCTGGTAGTACTATGGCAAAACACTGATGTGTGGGTTGCATATATATGCATTTTTTTCCTGAAGAGGATCACAGTCTTTTTATGTAGGACTGGGCGTAAGATTAAGAGAATTAAATAAATCGTATCTATATCATTACTACGTGGCTTAGTATTGACATTTAAAACGCTTTACTCGTTCTGTTTAATGACCACCCTCTTGAAAAGGAGAGATAAGTGCGAAGTGCCCTTGAAGACGAGAGGTCTATTAAATATATAACACCAATAAACGTGTCGGTAACCAGCACTCGTTATAAGCGATGGAAGCAAGGGGATTTTGCTTTGGTGAAACTGAATAAAGGAAGTCCTAAAACAGCACAGCTAGCCAGTCCACTACCATGATTAAGCCCTTTTAACACAACTGCTGACACCGAAGCTAAAGCAGAAGGGACTTCGCCCCGCTTCGGCAACACACCTGACCAAGGCAAACACGCCCCAGCGGAGCAGACCATTGCTCAGAGCACACAGGAGCAACCCCTGCCGCGGCACACTGTGTGAAAACACACAAAGCCCCCAAATAACCCGGCAACGCGGGGTCGTGCGGGGCGCAGAGCCCGAGCCTCCCGCCTCCTCTCCCACCCGCGGATCCCGGGCGGCGCTTTGCGGGACCCCCCCCCATTAAAGGTCCGGGGCGGGGAGGAGCCCAAATCCCCATCCGAAACCGCGGCTCCGTCCACACCCCGCGACAACCGGAGCCCCCCGGACTCACCGCAGAGCAGGAGGCAGGCGCTGAGGGCGCCCCGCAGGGCGGCGGCCATTTCGGCTGCCACCCTCCCTCCGTCCCTCCGTCAGGCGCTGAGGCGCCGCCGCGCCATGGCAGCGGGGGCGGCCCCGGCTCTCTTCCTGAGGGCGGGCCGGGCACCGCTCGTCACGCCTTCCCCTCAGGAGAGCAGGCAGCCCCTCACGGCGCTGAAAAGCCCTTTTTTATTGTAAAATCAATGAGTTTCGGCGACTCCTCGGCTCTAGGGAGCGTAGTGGGGACGCAGCGGGGCAGCTGAGGAAAGGGGAGGCAGGTGGGGCGGTGCGGTGGGGAAATAAATATTGGTTAACAGGCGTCAGAGGAAGCAGGGCAGCAAAACTTGCTGCCAGCAACAGGAATGTTACCTGAGGAAAGGTTCATCTTTTGAGTTCAGGGTCAGGCCTGCAGAAATGCCCGTGCCACTTCCACCATAACATTCAGCATCCCAATTGGAACAGTTTTCCCAGCTGAAAATGCCAGTTCTTTGTGAAGGCTTAGCACGTTTGTTTCTGGCCCCTTGATCCCCTCCTGTTACTAACTAAACAGGGATACAACACAGTTTGCTGCTTTTCCTCAGGTAGACACTGGTCCTCTGCCTTCACTTACCTATGAGCAGTTCCACTGGCTTCTACCATTGTGGAGAGGTTTATACCAATTTGCCTTAGGAAACAGCAGTCAGTGTATTACAGGGTCTCTGTGAGTAGAAGTTTAATCCAACTAATTCTATACATCTACAAATACTTTAATTAAGATCCAGCTTGCCACATATTTGCACCTTCTAGTTCTTAAAAGTAGCACAGCGGAGTGTACTACAACATTTTAGAAGTTACTCTCAGCTATCCTGACCAAAGGAATGCCTGCCAGCCATATCAGCCAGGAATTGCTATGCTAGTAGGCAGAAAAGTAGTATATATGTGGACCAGAACAAGGCAAAAAGAGCTGTTTGGCTACAAGATACCTAAAACCCTTCCCCCAGTAAACAGGCTAACTCATGTAGCTTTTCAAAGGCTAAAAAAAAAAAAAAAACCAACCCCCCCAAAAAAAAAACAAAAACACAAACAACAAACCAAACCAAAAAAAAAAAAACACAGTAAAAATTCTTAGACAGGTTTATGAAAAGTTTTCTTTTTATGAAGGATAAAATAACTTTACTGTCCAGTAACCTTTAAACATCATAAAAAATATTTTAAAAAATAGTATTCAGTTATACGAGACAGACACGTTTAATGCCTTGAATCACAGTAACACGAACTCTCTTGCAAGCTACTGAGTATTCTTACCTTGTCTCCCTGCACCTCCATGATTTCATTTATCGGCCTTCTCTGCACAACTTTGAAATCAGTTTACTGACTGGAACGTAGCACTACCCTGATGCCTGCAATCCACCCAGCAGAACAGGCTTCAGAGTAACCCATCAACAAAGCTAAGGAATAGTAGCAGAGTCCTTGGGAAACAAAACAAAAAAACACACAAGACAACCAAACGGGGTTTGATTAAGAGACCGGCCATTCACATCTCCCTGTACTATAAACTAACTCCTCACTTGAGTTTATAGAAGATATTTACCATGTAACAGCTAAAAGGTATAATTCACCAGCAAATTGCAAAACGAAGTAACTGCTCCCTTTTTCTGCTACATCCAAATTGTTTTTGATACCACCTGAACCACACACTGATATCACAGAAATATTTGTTAAAATGAGTCCTGTATATTTTCAGTACTTCAGTATATACTTTCAGAATGCTAAAACAAAGAGATCAGGTCTGTATGTTCAGTCCAGAAAGAATAAAGTTGGACAGTATCTACTTGTATGTTATAAAACAACAGTGGTCCTCAGATTCATCTTCTTAGGTATTCAGTTTTTGGGTCTGTATCTGAATCTGATGAGTCACTTTCATTGGAAGAACTAGATGAATCTTTCCATTCCTGAGAGTTGTTAAGACAGTGTGGTTTCTGCACACTTTCTGTATCATCAGGGAGCTGTGATTCAAAAGCATGTCTATGTTGCCAGTCAACTGTGTCACCCTGGGAAGACAGAAGAGCTGTAGAATTGTCCATGGTGTCTTCAGAGATTCCCAGAAGCACACTTTTCAAGTTTATGGTAAAGCAATCATTATTCCTTGACCTAGAAGAATAGGTACAGTTCTCCTCAGGGAAAGGCTGAAGTAACTTGCAGCCTGGGTCTTGATCTTTTTCAATGTCCATCTCATTCTCTTCAAAAACTTCTGGGTCATCATCCAGATGTTCACTTGCCTGGCTGCTACCGTCATCACATGTGCTACTTGTAGAGCACCGCACAAATACACCTGTCGTGTCAGAGGAATGAGGTGTTCTTACGATATTACGCCTTGTGTAGTCATGATTACTTAGGTCATCACTGCCACTGTCATCGCTGTCACTGTCATCGCTGACACTAGATCCCACTGCCTTTTTTTTAATCTCTTTATATATGATCTCTACAGATTCTGTTTTTTCAGTTACAAATGTACAAGGTGAATAGCGTATCGTCCCCCCGATGAATACCTAAAAGAACAAAAATAATTAGGAAAAAAAAAATCAAAACAAAAGATCAGCCAAATCTGCACACATAGAAATGTTTTTTCTTTTTGTTGTTATTGTTTACATCCAATTCCCTTATTTGGGTAGATTATGACAGCCTGGTCACAAGAGGTAATCTCTAAGAATCTATGCCAACTACAGATCCTGACAGAACTCAAACACAAATATCCTTTTTTTTTTTTTTCCCCAGTGAGGTTTTCCATTCTCAAACATTCCTCAACAGACACCAATTCCTGTTTATAACAGAATACAGTAATAATTATTACTGAGACTGCAGAAGTTAGACAGACATGAACCTACCCAAAGAAGTGGTCCCAAAATCTGCAACTAACAAGTAGGATACTTTTCAGGCAGTGAGGTATCTGCAGATGACTGTATCCTAATCTATGATGCTAGATACATATGAACTTGAAAGCTGGTGACCCACAAGGTATATCTGATTTTAGTCAAGAGCATGACTCCTGTGATTGAGAAGCTACCACTGATGTCACAACTCAGACTCAGTTTTCTTGAGAAACAACATGCTTCAAGACTGCTTTTCTGGAACAACACCACGCAACAAGACTGCTTCCTCAAAGCATATTTTCAACAGCTGCTCAGATTTGGCTGTCTGACCAGGCTGCTAAACTTCTACTTCTAGCATTTCTCATATGTTCTCCTTGCCTCCTTTTCTGGGCAATAACCATGAAGAGCAGCTTTAGAAGAAGTGTTTTAGAGCAGTAACCTTGACTCTTCTACAGAGAGAAGGCTTAAATAACTGGTCCATCTTTTGGGGAAAATGCGACCAAACCCCGCAGCTCTAGACCATTTTAATGTACCATCGCAGGCACAATGTGCCCAAATAAACTGGGACTTAAAAGTTCCTTTTTGTCTTTTTAGCTTGGTTTCCTAAGGAAATGTGATAAGGAGAAAACCTTGAAGGCAAATTTAATGATTTTTTTTTTTTTCCAGTTGTAGAATCTCTCAAATGCCCTTGAACACATCCAGCATCCAGGGAGCTGGCTAAGCAATCCTGAAATCTTCAGGGAGTTATCTACTTACTGGAGTAATAAAAAATTGAATCAATTATAGGGCAAATTGGATTTGTTCCTAGTGAGTAGGATGCTGTAGAGTGAAGTAACACAGGCAAAGTGCACCAGAAACTGCTTTACAAAGGAGCAGTGGATACCAAGTTTTCAAAGCATATTTCTTGGTGAATAACATTTTTCATCCTTGTGCATTTTACCTAAAAACTGGAGTAAGTTTTTCTTTCTGGAGTTATTGCCCTGGCTCAGATATAGAGGAAGAAGTGTCTGCTGCAGGAAGGATTTACATGTATTAGGTAATTTTCAAAGGGCAAGGGGTAAATTGTCCTATGCTGGATGCTTCACTGTAGAACCTGGTCTGCTTCTGTGAAGCATGAAGAGTTCATTTAAGGTTACTGTGTGTGCATCTCTCCCCTTCAATGCTGCCTGTCTCAACTTGTCTCTAGAGTAGAAACAAATGGTTTTCAAAGAGACTGAATATTTGTTCTACAGAACGGATAAGATTTATTAGCTTTGTTTTTAATTGTCAAGATTATCTTTGACACAATCAAGCTGCAAATAAAAACATTCTAAGCACTTAAATAACTGGTACCTAATGTACATAAATAGAAATTTCGTATTGTAAGCTTCCTGCTTCCAACCAGGAAGGTTAGGTATAAAAATTACATACCAAGGTACGAGGAAGTGATTTTTTCTGAAGAATATAGCCTCCCCAATGCATACACTTCAGGACAATACCTAACACCAGTGCAAAACATATAGCACTTGCAAATGAAGCACTGTAATAACCTGCAAGTGAAAAGACAAACAAGCAATCATGAATGAAGTTTTCAATCATCACATTTCATCTTTCAAATTCAGAACAGCTACTTTGAATATCAGAATAATTTTGGATAGCAGGGACCTCTACAGGTTATCTGGTTCAAGGTCAAAATGAGACCAAATCTCAAGTTAGATTCAGGAATTAAAAAAGAAGTTACACCATCTTTGATATCTATTTATGTAGTTGGTGCAGATTTGCGTGGTTCACGGGGTCAACAGTAAATTTGTAGCCCCAAAGTGGATGCATTTTTATATTTCCCTTATGAATCCCCATAATGTTTATCACTTGGAAGGAACTTGCTCTCTTCGTACTTTGAGAATTAACCTGCAAATCTTCCTACATAAAAATAAAACACTGGCACAATCAAGACAGACAACCCGTTCCTGCAGTATAACAGTTACCTTGTTGAGCTACAGAGCCTGCAGTTGCACATTTCCAGTCTGATGAGGTGGAATGTTTGTTCAGAGATGCGGAGACCGTAACGGACACACAGTAGTTTGCATTTGGATGCAGTTCTCTAATGACAGTACTGAAAGTTTCTTTAGTGGTTGTCTCAAGTGGCATCTACCATGAAAGACAATGTTTTAGAAAGTTAACTATTTGCCTACAAAGAGGATCCAAGCCACCAATAAAACCTGGCTATTTCAGAGAGATACCGCTGTAGGACATGAAACTGGATACACTGTTACAGTAACTCAGCATTTTATCTAGACAATCACTTCATCTCTAGTTCTAGCTGATACTAAGATGCCTAATCATTGCCTAAAAACTTCCAATGCATGGAGTATACACTTAGGCAACTCATTCCAGTGCTTTGCCAGCCTCAGTATTGTCTTTCTTGATGCTTCACCTAAGGACTGCACAACTGCCAATTTCACTTCACTCTTTTTGGTCGCAGCCACAGTGGATGTGCTGTTTCCTCTGTTTCTCCAGTAAATGTTTGCACACAGAGACTGTGGCCTCTAACTGTACTTTGCTTGTTTACACTAAGCCATCCCCTATTATTCCAGCATTTCCTCATGAGTCACGGCTCAGGTTTGCTCCCACAGTCCTCACTCTTCCTTTCTGGATCCTGCCACTCTTCCTCTAGAGCCTGGACCATGTCTTTTCTGAACTGGAGCAAGGTAAGTGTGCTTTCCAAGTACTGGGAAGGTGAGAAATATGCCCCTTTTTTCCCCTCTTCCTCCCCCTCAGCAAAATGAGTCATATTTAGCTTGTAATAATCCAGAATGCTCTCATCCTTTCTGGCAAAACTGCTGCCTGTGTAGCTGTTAACATCCTGCTTATTATGCAGACAGTTATTCCTAAGTGATATACCCTGCATTGGTCCTTCCTGAATGAGCTCCCTATTATTTTATTTCTCTGTTTTTGTGAAGCTCATTTTAAGTTCTAATCATGCCTATCTACCTCTCTATTGCAGCATACAATAAAATGAAGAAAAAACAGTTTCTGAAACTACCTGTTCTGGATCTAACTAGATATACTTTTTCAGTTTGTCAGAGAACTATTGAACTGTTTGCTGAACATATTTCCAGATCAGCTGTGCAGAGGAAACTACAACTGCTGGTAGTTTCTGCTGAAGTCTTTCTCCCTTGGCTTCACAGAAAGCCAGTGCCCCACACTTTATTTCAAGTAAGGATACGGGACAACTAACACTCCTCTTCTACGCCTGCTTATCTGCAGTAAAAGGAAGTCATGATTCTATTTTCTTCTAAGTATCTTCTATTCATACATTCTGTAAGTCTGCTGACCACTAGAGCCATTTTATGCTTTCTATTTGTGCATTAGACAAGAAATACAGAAATAAAAGTTCTTTACCTTATGCTCTCTGTCAGGTGTTTTCAGTGTTATAGAATACTCAATCTCTTCATATATATCAAATAAAGACACCAGCTTCTCATTATTCCTTAAGTGAGGGGTTGGCAGCTTTACGGTGACATTTATGCAGCTTAGACAAGAACTGATATTAACTTCTGGTGGTCCCAGCCATGCTATTAAAAAAAAAAGAAAAAGAAACATACGCTATGTACAGCTGACTAATCAAATTCCGGAGTGTGTCACTGATATAGACCCACGAGGCCTTGCAACATTTAAGTTTTGTGGGAAAAGATAGCTTGGCGACATGGCTAGACTATGAAAACAATGAGCAGCAATTAGTAGGGGAGGGAAGAAGACATGACAGAGAAAGAAAGGTCGCTTCAGCTCCACAGAGAAATGCACTTTTTTATCTATTTGAGAGGAAAGCTGAGGTTAATGTTTAGGAAAAGCTGACTACTTTCTTGCTCGTCATTTTTTAGTCACTGGAAGGAAGGAATGCCTGTAGAAATTTGGTGGTGTGTGGTCCTGCACATACTTATACCAGGTGCAAGGAAGGCTACAGGTCCGACTCTTGGAAGATGAACACTCTCCTGACAACAGTTGAAACGATTACGTTCTGTAAGACTGCCTTTGAGTTCAAAGTAACCTCTTGAATTTCGTTCCTTAGAACACGTTTGAAGAGATCTGTACACTGAGTGTCTGCCCTCCAAAACTACACATCCAGCAAGACTAGATTTGATTCAGTATGGAAGTTCCTCTAAGATCTTCTTTCCTCCAACATAGGAAAGAAGTAAGTTTGTTCTCATACCACTTCTCAACATTATCTCTGTAAGACTCAATTTGTGTACAACACAATATGGGAAAAAAAAAAAAAGATAGTTTGGATTTCAGTTTTGTTTTGCCCAGAAGCATGTACATTTTGGTCAACGTGTAGACCACATTGCTAGCAAAATTCAGAAAAAGCAATACATTTTTGCCAATTATTTCTGTTCCTGAAAGAATGGAATGGGGTAGGGAAAAAAAGTTTAATACTTGAACAAACACAAGCTTTTACCGACCCCCACATGGGAAAACACATTTCAGACCAGTTACAGACTTACTCTTTTCCCATCATTTGGTTTAAGTTAGAAATAAGTATTAAATTTTTTTCTAGTTAAATGTGGTTGTTCTCTTGGCTCCTTCTTATATTAAGCCTCTGGGCCTTTGCTCAAATCCAACTGCCAAAAGAAGTGAGATTCCATGGAGCTATTAGACTGTAAACATCAACTGTATCCAGCAGGGAAACATCTCAGAATATTGTTTCTTTCCTGCCCAAGTATTGTAAAAAGAGGCACTACAGGGTGAAGATGGAGGGCTTCATCCAAGTCCTGTGCCATGAAAACCATGGCTTCACTTGAATGCTTATAGTATGAACCAGAGAGCTACTAGCAGAACATCCAGTTTCAATTTCCAAGTTGCCAGTGACAGGCAGTCAATCAGCGCACTTGGTAATTCGGTCTAGCTTCAGCTCCCAGTCAGAGCAGGCTGTTATGTTTTTGTTGTTGTTCTGTTTCTCCCCCCAAGACTCAAGAAGCCTGCCATTGTATTAAGTAGTGGTCAACGCATCTTCTGATCCTCTTTGTTAACTTAACCACTGAAACACTAAGGACCTCTGTCTCTGAGGGATGTTCTCAAATCCTTCAGTTATTTTTAGTTACAAAAAAAACATCATCAGTAACTTCAGTCTCAGCATCACTTTAATTATTCAGCTCTCAAAAACAGAATTTGCTCAGTCTCTGTTAATTCCAAATGAAATACTAAGCACAGGTAAGGGCGATGCTGCCTCTGGCATTAGATGTCACTGCTAAGCATTTTCTTTCAGAAGCAAGGAAAAGACTAGGTTGATGAAACAACAGGTAAATCGCTCTTCCCCTACACCTAAAACTGCCAGCCAGGTTAGTTTGTAATGCCGTACTGCAAAGCTAGCAGAGCATCATTTATGCATAACTAGGAATAAAAACTAAAATGAACAAATGCAGAGAACTTACTGTCAGTATGTGGCACAAAACGAAGTTCAGAAGAAGTGAATACTTTTGTTCCTACAAAGCTCTGAACACGTACGGAATACTCAGAAGATATATTTTTAAAATCCTCTGTTAGGTTACAGGAGAGGTGTTCAATATATGAACAGTTTTGTGCAATCATCCAGTTCCTGTAAATCAAAATATATAGTAAATAAAAGTCTAAAATAATCTATTTGGAGTCTCCAGTATAAGAAAACATCTTCGGGGAGTGGAAAAACAGGCAACGAAGAAAACCTCATGCCGAATATTTTGAACTCCTAAACTTTAAAAGAAAAATTTGTGTCTTATATGAAGTGAGACTTGCCTGCCGGTCATAGTACTGTACACGATAGTGAGCTGTCACATTTGGGTCAGTTACTGCCTGCCAGGACAAAATGTGTTCGAAGTTGTGAGATTCCATTTTTAGTTCGAAAGGTGGCCCTTCTGGAAACCTTTCTAGAAAAGGAAGGGGGAAAAAAAACAACACACAACAACAACCCATTAATATCATCAATATGAATGGCAAACCCATTTGAGATTGCAACAACTCTAATCAATAATCCTGATTAGAGAAAACCAAAATTAGCCCCCAGATAAAGCAACCATAGAACAGAATAGAGTTCAGCACAACAGAAGACACAACGCAAAGGACTGCCCTCCCATATTTTATTTCTAAGAAGTTCTTTCTTCAAGAAGCATAAAATTGTAAAATGATGCCTGATAAGAACATGTAAGTCTCCTGAACTGTATTAGGAAAAGCATTTGAAAGACAATAGAAACTTCTTACCAGGCATGCTGCTGCAACAAGCTGCACACAGAATACAGATGATGTACGCTGGAAAATGAAACCACATAATAGTGAATTTGCATGTCTGCAATATCTGATTATTAGTTTCCTATTGGCAATATTAATTCACAACAGTCAGAGACAATTCTAAGTGTTCCCTCAGCTGAAGTGTTCATGCAGTCCCTTCACTCAACTTTGTATGCTACTGGGTTCTCTCTTTCACATCTTCCTTTTCAATTTCTTCCTTTTCCCAGAGTACAGGATTCTCCAATCAGTATCATTACCTCAAGGCTCCTAGGAGCTAATTCTTTGATAACTACCCTGTGGTTCAGGCTCACACTGATCTATGCCAAAAGAGCTTCAAGATTCAGTTCAAAATAAACCTATTTAAGATGTTCTTATTCCACACTTAGAGGATCCTGACTGTATTGTAGGTAGCTTACTCTCTTGTAAATACCACTGTACATTAGGACAAGAATCTTACAACTTTACTGGAATAAGATAGCTACCACTGCTTGAAAAACATTACTGAATCATCTTCAGTAATGAAGGCCATATGTCCTTCTTTGCTAAATGTGGCGAATCCTCAGCGCTGCAGTACTGGTATACAATGCACTGTTTTCAGTCATTTAACTCCTCTGATTTCCTTTCTAGTCCAGTTGCCCCTCCTTCAGTTTTGGTTTAACCCTGGCAGGCAGCTCAGTAGCATCCAGCCGCTCGCTCACTCTCTCCAGGTGAGATGGGGGAGAGAATCAGAAAGGTAAAAGTGTGAGAACTCATGGATTGAGATAACATCAGTTTGCTAGGTAAAGCAAAAGCTGCACAAAAAAAAAAACAACAAAAAACAAAGTGAAACAGGGAATTCATTCCCTACTTCCCATGGGCACGCAGACATTCAGACACCTCCAGGAAAGAGGTGCTCATCGCGCCTAATGGTTTCTTGGGAATACAAAGGCCATCACCCCAGATGTGCCCCCCTTTTTCCTTCTTTCCCCCAGTTTTATTGCTGAGCCTGATGCCTGTGGGGTGGGACATCCCTTTGGGCAGTCTGGGCCAGCTGTCCTGGCTGTGACCCCCCCAGCTCCTGGTGCACCCCCAGCCTGGTTGCTGGCAGGGCAGCATGAGAAGCAAATAAATCCTTGTCCCTGTGTAAGAGCTGCTCTGCAGCAACTAAAACATCACCACTACTGTCATCAAAAATCCAAACCAAAGTGTCACACAATTCTCTTTGAAGAAAATTAACTCTATCCCAGCCAAAACCACGGCACCTTCCCAAACTTAGGTTTGTGTCCTGTTTCTGTAACGTTACCCTGTGGGTGTTTCTAGCTCTTTCTACACCATTCTGTTCTCTGCCTGGAAAAGAAGAGACAAAAAAAAACAACAGATACTGCAACACTTTTACTTTTCTCACAAGACGTGGTTAAAACTGTACTCGACCTGTCAGTTGGGCCTACTGTCTGAGCGATCTCTTGAACCTTCTGGCAAACCCTGACATCCTAGAGACCGCCACATCTTCTCATATAACCTCTGTGCGGGACTGCCCTCTCATGCAGATTCTAGTTATATCCAGAGGCCAACCCAGTCTTGCATCGTTTGTATCTTTTCAGCATGGCACTCGGAGACATTCTTGAAATGATTGTTCTGACTCTTCTAACTCTTTTGCAAGATACTTTAGCTCTCTTCTGCTTTCCTGTTTTAACTTCCTGTTTCCATTTTAAAGTCATTTCGGGGCCTATCCTCTTAGGACGAGATGCTCACTCTCATACGCCGTGTCCAAGAAAGTCATCAGTTAGATTTCAAACAACCATGTTTTTTTCCCACGCTTTAGAGGAACTCCCTGGAAATATCTGCAAAATTACTTCAGCATTTTTCCCTTGAATTATTCAACATGATCTCGTTTGTTTTGACACCTAAGCTCCTCTCCAACAACACGACAATGCCCAAAATACCACTAGCCCGCTACTTCTGTTGAACTGTTAATTACTACTGCCTTAACATCTTATCTTGCAAGTATTAAAATATGCTCTCTATATCCATTCTGAAATTAGATGCAAAGAGATTAAGCAACTCACTGAAGTTGCACATGCAGCAAATATATATATTCTCAGAAGAGAATCTCTCAGAAGAATTCTCAGAAGAGCTTCTCTCTCTAGCTTCATTTTACCATACAGACCACAAACACCTCTTATATGACTTATTTTGCACATGATCTTCTACATTACTCACTACTGAATAATAAATACCCCTTAGAGAAGTGCCATTAAAACTAGAACTGCTTTCTTGCAATACAGCAACAGATCACCTACATATAAAACATAACCAAGGGGTATGAATAACAAAGCAATACCTTAATGGTTATTGTTCTTCACCTGAACACAAGCTCAGATTTGTAGTCACACAGTCTTTAGCACATTGATGATACTGCTGCTCTGTCAAACAGTGTCAGTGTACAGGCTCTAGTAATGACACTTCCATACAGCAAGCTCTTTGGATTAGTAGATGCAATCTTTTGAGATCCTTTCTTACCCTAGCCACCTTATGTGTGTCAGGTGTCTTGCTGAAGGAATTCTCTGTATTTTTAAATACCTTTCCCCTCTCAAATCTAGTTCATCTAGAGTTCAAATTGCTTTAGTAACTTTGTTTCAACAAGCACAAACTGCTGGCATAAGAGATACACACAGGAAAAAAATGTTACACAAAATAACTGCAGTAAACTTAAGGCTGCAGAAACAAAGGTGAAAAAGTAAAATGAAGAGGGAATCTTCATCATCATCTTGTCCTTTTCACAGAATTAAACAATTCTATCAGAACAGTTTCCCACTACAATTAGAGTCCAGCCAACAAACTATGTTTGCAGTGTTTACTAACCCAGAAACTGAGGAGTCATGAAAAAAAGTTAGGACAAGAAATGACAAAGTATCCAACTAAGAGTTTACCTGATTTTTAGAGCATACTGTTTCAAAGGTTTTTTTTTTTTTTTTAATGGAGAAATCTCGTTTATTTTTAGAATAGAGTATACAGAATAAAATACCCTACAATAATGATTCTGTGAGTTATTCCAGGGAGAGCTCTATAATAACTTAATGGTATCTTAATTCAGTGACTTGGGAGGGCTGCTAGTGAAAAATCACCAGAACTACCTCTCCTACAGTGTAAAAGCACAAGCAACTTACCAAATTGGTAAAAACGCAGTGGTCCACCCATCAGTGTTTCCATAGTGATTAAGAAATACAGCTTACTGATTGTAAAATAAACATTTTGCTTCCATACCTGCAAATACATTAAAAACAATCACATTCAGCAAATCATATTGGTGAATGACTTGTACATAAAAGCAGATATATGTTCAAATAATTATTTTAACCTCTTCAGTGCGTTGGGGGAGAGGCATGCACACAGTTGCTACTATCATCCTAGGGGATGATGCTCAAAACAGATAGTTTTATGACAATAGTACTTCCCTCCCCAGTCCCTCATGGTAAGTGCTCTTACCATTTTAAATAAATACCTAAAGCATTGTATGACTATTAGTATTGATTTTGCATGAAGATAGCATTAGAAAATTCTAAGCCATTGATTCTAATTTATAAAATACAGTTAAGATAAAGATCACTTGCCTTTATTTGAAACATTATAAGAACTCATCACTGTCGAAAAAATGTTTCCAGAAAGAAGGTAGATAGAAAGGTTAGAACAAAAACCACAATGATTAAATTTGAAGGAAGTTATTAAGGTTTGTTAGAGTTTTTAATACATTAGGCAATATTTTAATAGGCCTTTTCTAGGTGTTGTTATTTTACTCTGCTACTCTCATCATATTCATATTTGCAGGAATTGTTTTTTGATTTAAAGGCAAAGTACTAAGGTACAACTGTGAATCTACAGATAGCTGAGAATGGGTATAAGTCTTTGGAAAAAACCTTCTTCTCCAACTTTAACACAATAAATTGTTTTTGAATTTAAACTGATTTTTTTAAACCGATTTTCTCCGCAAAACAAACAGCTTAAAATTTAAAATTGTACTGAATCATAATATGGTCAAACTCAACACAGTATTTTAAATGTATCTGATTTATCTGAGATGTAACTCCTTCTCTGCTCAAAGCTTCAGCATGACTAGAGGAAGTTACTGAATTAAGTGTTAAGAACCCATATCTGTGCAACTGATAATCATAATTGCAAAGTAATGAACTCTTCAAGAGATGAAGAGAACGTTCTTTCTCACTTCATTTTTTTTTATTCATTAAAGCATGAAGAATATTTCAGAGATATAAAATGCTTGTTTTCCCCTTTTCAATCCAAATTAAGAATGAAGCAAAAGAAGCTATGACTTACTAGTTATGCAATCTTTAAGTAAAGTTCATCACTTATAAGAGCAAGCTAGAAGGTGATTGAGTCACCAATATCTATCAAGCCCATTTAGCTTTTACACTAGTGGCACAGAAAAAAATGATTTGACATTCAGATCAAGTTTACAAATTACACAAGTACAAAAAAAAATAAATCAACTTTCTACTTTCAACAAGATAACCAGATTCGTCCAGAAGTCAACGCAGAAGACAACGGTACTATCACAGTCACTTGAAAAAAACACCTGCAAGATCTGTTTTTTGATATTTCTTATGTATTCTGCGGTTCGGCAGCTTAGAATATGTAAGCCAGATGTGACCAAACGTGTTTCTCTTTGAGTTTGCACAGTCATCTAAACCTACACGTCCCCTACAAGTTTATCAATGACGGTGGACATTTAAGGGGAAACCCATTCCTGTCAGGACTCTAGACTCTGCTTTTCTCACCCTTCTGCCTCAGAGCCTCCCCAGCCCTTGGAGGGAAGCCATGGAAATGCCCTGTGAGCCCAGTCCCATTCACCTCACCTCACCTCACCAGCTCCTAGCCCACCCACCTGGTAACTCAGCTGGGTACCCCTGCGTGCTGCCCGCAGCCTCCAGCGCTTCCACAAGCCCGCTTAGCGCTGCCACCTCACCTGCAGCAGCAGCAGCAGCAGCAGCAGCAGCTTGTCCTTAGCTTGAGGTCAGGCCGGGTGGCTTTGAGGTGGACGCTTCCAATTTGGGAAAGAATAAAATAAATAAATAAATTATTGGGAAGTCTCCAATAAATTGGAAACCCCCTCACTCACCCCCTCCTACCCCCGCAGCACCCCCGTGTTACCCTCCCCGCGTACCCCCACACGGCTGTGTACCCTACCCTGCCCTGCCCTGCCCTGCCGGGGGGGCGACGTTACCTGGGGGCGCCCCCCGGCCGCGGGCGCCATCCCCGCGGGGCCCCCCACAGCCCCCAGGCCGGCTCGGCGAGGGCGCAGCGCGAAATGGCGGCGGCCCCGGCGCTGGGCGAGCGCCTGGAAACGCCCCCTCAGTGTTGGCCCGCCCCTTCCCGGCCGATTAACGGGCCGGGGGTGCCGCCGTCATGGCGTTTGGGGTGGCTGAGGGGGGTCCTGCCCGCCTCGGGGCCGGGGGTCGTGTCCCGCCCCGCCACCCCTGGCCAGTTCCCCTGGGCGGCCTCAGGCACCGCTTGCCGGGCACTCGAGGGCTCGGCTCGTTTCGGTTTCTATTCATGAATGTTTCATCCGGCTCTTTGATTTTTTTTTTTTTTTTTGGTTCCTTCTCTTTGATTATTACCAGTTTTTGAAATCATGAAGTAAACCTTCATGGAGAGCCGCAACGGCTCCCGCTGGTTCCCTTTTTCACTCATGACCTCAGGGCACTGCTGCTGCTGCTGAGCGCTTCATAGATATCTGCCTCAGCAGATGCGGCGTCCTCCACACCAGTGTGTTCTCATAGCTAAAACTGAAGTGAGGTGGCGTTAAATATAGCCCTCATCAAGCTATTTACTAAAAAAAAAAAATCTTGGTACTTACCTGAGAGGGGTGAGAAAGCATTGCCAGTTAGCAGCCACGTCCCTCCACGCACGCCTACAGCATCACCAGCTAAACCTCCCAGGCTGCTGAGCTCTGGGTATTTGCTGGTGGAAACATGTGATTTGGGGTGTTGTTTGGTGGCTGGTGTGGGGTCATGCTGCACTTTAAGCTACACTAGGTAAAGCAAACCTGAGATTTACCATAACCACCCTTCAGGCTTCTACAAGGCTTCCACAGTTTCTGGCTAGATACCTACACTGCTTTAACCCACAGACAGCTTAAAAGTAGTCAAGATAGTTCTTCCCTGTTTTACCGCATGAAGCAATAACACTGAGATCTAAGATTCTGAATAAAATCTCAAAAAAGGCCGAACTTGCTGTATGTCTGTGCATGCGTTTGTCTCATGGGGCAAGTGATATATGTGGCACCATTACTTCTTTCGTGATTTCTGTTTCTGAAGGGTTCTTGGCAATGCCCAAGTATTCAAAGTTCAAAAATTCTAGTTCTAAACTAACTTTTTAAAGGACAGGATGTTTACCTGGAAGCAGAATCTGGAATGAAAAGAGGACAGACAGTCTGAATCTTAATAATATCATTATGTGGTTCGCTCAGCTCCTGCTTCTCCAAACATAAAGATCTTCTAAACTCTTTATTTTTATTCTGTTCTTATTTCACTTATTTCTACCACACATTTTTTTTCTTTAAAAAACAACAACAACAACAACAAACCTCCATGATTTGCCTGTGACCTTTTTTCTTTAATTTTTTTTTTTTTTTTTTTTCAGCGTTGTATTTAGTGAACTCTCTTTCTAATTCTCTGCCATTTTTGCAGAAGTTCTCTGAAACTGTTGTTCTTTCCCGCACATGAGATGAATTTACTCTCTTGGTCTCTCAGCCCTTTGTGGTGAAGACTCTGATATTTATCTGCACTTTTTTGCCTCTTTACACCTCCCTTTCCCTTTTTTCCTATCATTCATTGTCTTTCCGCTTGAAACTATAAGTGTAAAGACTTTAAGATATAAACATAGTTCAAAGAGAGTTCTTCACCTTTCTCACTAGCCTTCCTCATTATCCCCAGTGATAATGCTTGGTCATCAAGTGAATCTTCTGCCTGGCCTAGGCACAGGAAGGATGAAGCAATCCTCAAGACACTGCCTCCAGTGAAGAGAAAGTTGTGATGAGAAAAATGCTTAAGTGAGCAATAGTAGAAGGGGAAAGAGTTTGGTGGCTTTGCCTCATGCAGCACTCAGCTACTTTGTTTTGGACACTTCAGATGCAGGGACTCATTCATCTGCACACATAGCTATGCTGTAATGAGAAAGCCAGCAAAAAAAGATACTATGTTATGGGAGATTTTGTTTTCCAACATTTGTAGGGGTAAAGAGAGAAGAATTTTCCCTGGAGGAGTAGTGTTGACCCTGGTGCACTCAGCAATTTTGCCTTCTTTACAGTATCAGCAGGTGTTGAGGGGAAAAATGGAATGTAAGATTGTTCCACTTTAGGGCAATAGAAGCCCTAAAGGCAAGACCCCGTGTTGCAGAATAGCTGGAATCTAGCTCAAGTGGTAAAACATGGGGAGAGGTGATACTGCTGAGCTTCTGATGAAGACACCAGCCTGAAAAAGCCCTTGGAAAGCATTTCCAAGGAAACTTTTTGAAAATGGCATATAGCAGATCCAGTGCAACAGGTTCACTGTTTGCTAGTGGCTCTGTGGCACTCCCAGCATGTCTAGTTAGGGCTGATTATACAGGCAGGGGTTCATTCAGTATAAAAATGCTGGCAATTAATGAAAACTAGTATAAAGTGATGAGAACCTGCCTTTGTTTTGCTGTATTTACTGTCAGCATTAGTGCTGGTGAACCTGGTTTAGTGGTTTTGCTAGGGAGAACACTGCTACACAGCTTCCAGGACACCTTTATATAACTTTCCCTGGTTATTTACACCTGACACATCTATTTATATTAAATTGTATTTCTGTTTTTGCTAATATCATTTTGTTATGAGCCCAAGTGTGCAGATTGTTCTGAAACCTTGGTGGATCCAAAACTAGGAGAGACCACCCCCTTTAAAAATAATAGTAATCGTGTACAGCCCAATAAAAAATTTTATATGTTTGTGTTTTTCCATCTAGGATCAGAAATAAACAAAAATCATGCAAGACTTGAGAAGTAATTTTTAAGTCTTTCCTGGCTAACAAAATCGGAATGTGATCTTTTTTGGCCTGAAGGTGATGCTGTTTCTCCAGGAAAAGTGTTGGAAAAGACTGAGTATTTCGGAAGTCTTAGAAAGTACTTCCACTAAAATTAGGTATGCAGCTGTTTATGCTCATAGTTTTCATGTTCATATAATTCTACAGATCTGCTTCATGAACGCTTTGGAAGGCTGAGACTTCCCTTAGCAGAAGTAAAAGGTACTTTATTAGACCTTCCAGCATATGATGGACAAACACACTTATAATAAGACCTTGTTGTTATTTTTGTTGTTGTTCATACCCATCTGTAAGCAGTCTTCTTGTGTTGATCACATGCTTTGCCATGCGTCATGTGCTTTTCATATGTGTTGGTGGGAGAGAGGTGTGATTTCTGTGTACATCTCTGGAAAAGATACTTATGCTTATTTGTTTTGAAAGATTTTTCTGTGCAAGAAGAGAGACAGTAGGTTTCCGGTATTACTTCAGAACCTTAAAAATGACTCATTTCAGTCAGCTCTTACCACTTCTGTGTTTTGACTCAGATTGTCATATACAGACAAATTTCTGAATTTGGCCCTCTCGTAGGGGCAAATGTGCCCCTTTGTAGGCTTGGCACACTGGTCAGATATTTCTCCTTTTTACTGGGGAATCTTTTATTTCTGCAAAGATTGCTTCAGACCCATTTCCAGTCTTTAATGTCTTCAGGACACCCTACATTTCTGGTGGCGTGAGCCACAGGAACCTAACAGGCATTAAGGCTGCAGGAATGTAACAGAGCTCCTGCACGCTGCTGCCATATAGAATAAATAAAATCTGCAGGCATGTCAAGATGTGTGAAACAACGATATATTAATCTTGTGGCATTTCACCTACACGGGGAAAAGTTCTGTTTCATGCCTGCAAAAAATGGATTGCCCATTAGGTCTTCTTGCCTAAGCCTCTACACCTGTGGTATATATGTAGCTTTACACCTGTGGTGTATAGGTCCTTGCTGTACAGGTTCTGCTTTCTCTGCCTCATGTGCCTTGCACTGCATCCTGCCTGCTTTGTGTTGGGAGTCATTTAGGTAATGAGCTCTCTTTAGGTAAAGGTAGCTTTTATTGGACATGCAGATATAAAAAGTGACTACTGCTGATTTGTGATCCTTAGCTGGGATTTCTAGATGTGTCTGTAGCAGAAATGACAAATACTCTCTCTCAACATTATTTATTTTAGAGAACCTGAAAACTTTTGTCTTGAAACCGCTGCCTTAAATAACCTTGATCATTGTCTCAGGGGGAATGGCAGATGCCAGATTTAATCTTTGCATACCACGATCAGCAAAATTTAATTTGATCTCTACATCATTGATGTAGAGAATCACAAGTGGGAACATTATGTTGTACTTCCCTCCTTAGACAAGGGAAACGTGGAAGAGGAATGGTGACTCCCTGCTGTCTAGTAAATACTTTTCACCTCAGAGTCTGCCCTGTGCTCTTTGTCTGGATCAAAAGGAAGAAACAAAGATTGAAATCCGTTTCTCCGCTTTACAGGGAGTTCTGTGTGCTCTCTAAAATATGGTTTGTATTTGAAAACAGAGCGTAGGATAACTTTCATTTCTGGTTGGCTAATCAGTATTGTAAACTTCCACCTAGGCTGTGTTAGCAACAGTATGGGTACATTTCTGTGTAACTTTAAATGACAGATAAGAAGAGAAAAGACCGTGCTAGGTAACACTTTCCTATGCCCCCATGCTCTATCTACAGGCTTCTGCTGTGTTAAATGAAGCGTTAAATGAGACGCTGCACAGTGGCATTGCAGAAAGGAAGGGAAGCAGTGGGGAGAGGAACAGGGGCACTCACTGTCCTCCTGTGTCTGCTCACTTGTGTGCACAGTACCTGGCAGCACCGAGGTGCCAGCCCATCCTAAATCAGCCAGGGAGCAATGCCTGTGGTGCTGGGTCCTGGCTGCAGCTGTGGCAGCCGGCGCGATGCTCTTATGAAAAACGGAGTGCTTTGAAATACATCTCATACCTGCTGGGAGATGTCGGCTGAAGGCGTAGGCAGGGATTAAAAAGAAAGTCAGAAACAAATACAGTATGGTTTATTCAGGATTAATTCTAGCACAGGGGGTGCTAGAGGAGTAGGACCATGCATATACTGCCCAGATGGGGGGAAGGAAACGGTGCTTGCCCTGGCACGATGGCAGTCCGCTGTTATACTTCTAGACTGGACACTTAGCATGGTTGGGAAGATGTGGACACATCTCAGTGTTAATTGTACATTTCAGGAGTACTGTGCCTCCCTGCCTAAAGATCGTAATCTCTGAAGTGCAAGCCTTGGAAAAAGTCAGTTGCCATTTTTTTCCTCTGTGTGATGACAGGTGAATTTTTCACATCTCACTGCATATTACTCTAAGTGTGTAGTACAGAATAAATCCTGATCTACTTTTACTAATAACACTGCTAGTAGTAATCGTGTGAAGGTATTTT